CAGTTTGACAGGGCCCTGAAGGAGGAGGGGGGGAGGGAGGGGGAATAGTATGGGGCCAGAGGGTAGAAAAGGAGAGCGGTCGCTGGAGGGGAGAGAGGGTATAAAAAGCACGCTGAATAATAGACTCCAACCCTCTCCAAACATCTCCCTTCTCTATGCATACCACGGTCACGGTGCCCTGGACCGGAATCTAGCCTTACACATTCGAAACGTGTCCGCCTCCCATCTATCTCTCTCCCCTCTCCTACGTCGTGCTGCGTTCACGATACAGAGCTTTGATAAACTTGTGACGCACTCGAAGAAGAAATAAATGATGTCATTCGTTTCGTTACTTTTGATTATTTCCGTTGGAAGGATATAAAACTCTTCGTCGATGAGCTAGATAAATTTATTAACTCACATAGAATCTGTTACTGTAAATTTATTTACGTACACGATATAGATTATTAACAGAGCAATCGTTTCAAAAAATTCGTTCATCGCGTCATGAATAATCGCTGTGTAGAAGTGAAACTTGACGTTCTTGGAAACTACTTCCGGTTATTATATGGACGTTGGTAAAGTTGAGGATAGAATTATATTCTTCGTAGTGATAGTTCTCTAACTATTGTAAAAGAGACAATTCATTTAATAAATACAGTGAAAGTATTGCGTTACATGATACTGTCACGTAAAATTTATTGAAAGTAGAATGAGACGCGAGTCAGACCAACATTCTAGATTCAAAAGTAGACAAAACTGATGATACATCTCGCTTGATGTCGATCATCTGCCCTCAGAAAACCCGTCGCACATCTTGAATCAATAAAATAAAGAAAAAAGAGACATGATTAATTTGATTACTGCGAATCTCCTAGAAAAGAGGTAAGAAGATGGCGAGAGAAGCTGAGCGCGAAACCGCAGACGCGTGAAACCTACCAGCGACACCTACTAGCGTTCGTAACTCTTTCGCGAAAACGTATGGCCACCATAGTGGTCGAACAATAGACGAAATCTGTTAATGCCGGGACGAACGACAATGAGTTCGACGTGGCGTGAGCGGCTCTCGAATACCTTTTTACCGGCGCTAATCCGAATTCGTTGGCCGTCGGCGAGGATAAAGCGATCATCGTCCCGGAACGATGCGCTCTCGAGCTTCGGCTTCGATGATTGGGACTAGCGGGGTCAAAAAGGGAGCGGAGGGGAAGGGGATGAAAGAAATGGCAACAACCGGATAGAAAAAGTGATTTCTGCCGCGATACGCGGGCCTCGTCGGGGCTCGTTCGTCACGAGCACGGCGATAGTGATCGACGAAAGCTGTTACGCGGCCGCCTGAACGACGTTAACGTCGATATTTCCCTGTAAACGACCACTCTGTTAGCCCCTGTTCCCTTGGAACCTCGGCGGGGGCCGAGATTTTCCGGGTCCAACTGCAAAGCGCGCCAACCCGGCAAAGTGGTTTTCTGTCGAAAGTAACGGGGCTTGGCGTGAACGCGATTTCGGCCGCGTTTCGAGGCGTAACCAGCGCGCGAAATGGAAGGGAAAATCGTTAACGAAAATCGTGCATCCGTCGCCTCTCTGCGCCCATCGTCGCGTATTAGATATTTCAGCCACGTGCGTGTGCGCGTAGTAGTAGGTTTCATCGTTCCTTTAATCGTTGCGACGTTCGTTGACAGCGTGGAACAGCGTAGCTTTTTATAATTATAAAAACATATGTTCAATATACATACGGTCAATACTTCGACTGATACTTCCAATTGACTAGATTGGGGATATCTATGTAAATCTGTATTTTAATTCGAAAAGTATTTCATTACACTTTGGACAGTTTGTGTATCTCAAATTTGCGTAAAAGTTCAACCAATCTATTTAATAGATCGACTATCGCCAAGTTATTTGAAAAACACGATCGTTCCGTCGAATTTTCTGAAAATTCGAAACTCGAAATTCTGAGTCGTCTGTATTGAGAGAAGACTGCAAAATTCGAGGGAGACAGCTTTCTCGATGTACAAGCCCGACTGGCCGACGATGCTCAAGAAAGCGTGGCCCCGCGGCCAAACGCGTCGTTCACGCAGGCAAACACAACGTGCAATTTTAATCCCGAAATTACTTCCATTTTATTCCAATTTTCTCGCATTTAAACCGTCTAAGCGAGTTTACCTTGGCAATATCATTGCCGAGGAGCGTCGTGCTGCATCGTCCTCGAGAAAACCTGGTGGATGGGGAGATGGATGGGTGAATGGCTGAATGGATAGATGGATAGCTCGGCTGGCTAGCCAAGGAAGAAGAAAACTGAAGGATGAGGAGCGAAACGTGAGAAGATGGGCGGAGAAAGATGGGTCGGAGATGGAGAAGGTGGAAGTACCTACTCTAATAAATTTACGACCTAAAATGGTTAAGCCGCGTTAGCCCTGTTCTTTATATTTCCGCGAGAGAGGAACTAAAGAGTAAGCGCGCGCGCGTGAGAGAGAGGAAGAGAGAGAGAGAGAGAGAGAGAGTAAGAGAAAGGAAAGACGAAGGATTCCGGCCACCAACGAGCAAACTCACCTTCCTTCTGCAGAAAAGTAAAGAAAGACAGAGGATACGGATCTTGTATACGCGACAGGCGTCGTTGGTCGAGGGGGGTGGAGATTC